GTCCAAAGGGTAGATCACAAGCACATGTCTGGCAGGGACATGAGCCAACAGTCATCCTGCATTTGTCTGGCACCCACTGTGTACCAGGCAGAAGCCATGTCTCCTTGGAAACATCACCAAAGACCAAATGAAAATGCCGTTGGAGATGGTAGAGTCCCATGAGCAACTGTTTCTTCTTAAAAGAAAAATGGCACAAGGTTCCTACAATGCATTCAAGGGATCTTCTCACTGAGAAAACCAAAGTAAACTAAAAATCAAAGGTGAAAGCCTCAGCTTGCTCAGGACCAGGTCAAGGAAGATAGTAAGGACACTACCAGCAACTTTTCCTCCACTAAGAGCCCTCCTTAGCCCCCAGGGCTCCACGTGGCCTTCACTCACCTAGTCTAACAATACCTCCCTAACTTCATCTCCTTCTCTCATACCAGCCTCCAGGCACACTCTCACCTCAGTTCCCACAGCCTGGGGTGCTCTTCCAGCAGATCTCCACTGGAGGCTCCTCCTTCAGCTCCCTAAGTCTTTGATCAAATGTCCCCTTCCTTGACCCCCCTATTTAAAACCATAACCCTCATGCACTCTCCTTAATCCTGCTCTTTTTATCCCATAAATTATCACCTTCTACAAAGTTTCTTCTTTATCTGTCCCCTGCTGGAAAGCCAGCTCCCCCAGGGCAGGAGTTTTGGTATCTTGCCCAGGGCCTAGAACAGGGACAGAATCATGTTTCAATGAAGGGATGAAAAATGCAAACCATTTTAAGCACTTTTTCTGTGCTAGATGCTCTCAAGCATTTTAAATGATCTCATTTAATCCTCACTCCACCTTCAATGAGGTGCACAAGGTGACTTTATCTGCCCTAATAAGTGAAACAAACCCAACCTATAGGCCTGAATGGGGCCTATGAGTAGATACAGTTAACAGTCCCGCTGGCCAGATGGGTAAACAGAGGTTCAGAGAGGAAAGGCTCACAGAATCAAGCCCAGGTCTCGGGAGTTGGAGGCCTCAAAGTTGACCTCCTCCTGCTCCTTCCCCAAGGAAAAACTTCCCACGCCCCTCCCTCTCCTTGGGGTCACAGGTCTATCTGCTGGTACAGAGCCAGGGGTCTTAAACTCAAAGGTTTCCAGGGCCAGGAGGCAAATGTAAAATGGGCCTGGGCAAGCACTAGGGAGTGGTGGGGACCGTGGCAGCTCTAGTGGCCAGTCCTGGTTTGACCGGGCAGCAAGTGGCTGCTGTTTCTAAGATCCAGGCAGTTGGCACCAAACAAGACATGGGAACAGAGAGATCAGAAAACAATGATTATAAGAGCAGCAGCAATGGGTACATGGGTACAGCCAAACATGGTGGAGCCTTAATCTCTAAAGATCTTTAGGATTTGCTAGCACTGCAAAAATCTGGATTTTATGCAAAATCTAAATTTTAAATATTGACAGCTAATTACAGACAAAACATTCCAAACACCATTCAGGTGAAACAAAAGTTCCAGCAAGCATGCCTTGGGCCCCAGAGCTACCAATGTGCAACCACTGGTACAGGGCAAGTTAACTGTGTCATTCCCACTCAGACTACATTCTTAGAAAATCCACAAGGAGGAGGCAATGAAATGGAGCAGTTTGTGCTAACCCCCAGGCACATGCCCTTCACACTCTCTTGTTTGTTCCTTGACCCAACAGGATTATCCACTGTATAAGTCCACCGTACAAAGGAAAAAATAGTTTGCCCAAATTCACAAAAAGAAGTAGGGAGTGGAATTCAAAGTAAGGCCCAACTGCCATCCTCTTGGAACAGGGCTTTGTCGCTGAAGGGCTTCCCCCACATTCCAGAAATAAAAAGAAATTAACTCTGTTGGAGCACCCTCAAGCCAGCTTTGGTTCTTGGGCCCTGAATTAATGCTTTTAACATGGGATATCGCATTACAGACATCTGGGAGGAGGCTGCCACAGGAGTCAGCTCAGTAGTAGTTGGCAATCACCATATGCCAGGGTGGGCAACAGAGAAAAGTAAGGCCAGAGGGAAGGAAGAAAGGTAAAGTGGGGAGAGAGACTTGGACCCCCACTCAGCCAGAGCCCCTGACTCCTCAATGAATAACCTCAAGCAAGAACCCGTTTCCTGTTCTATAAAATGAGATCATAGCAATGCCACTCTCATTAAGGCTTAAATGTAGTCCCAGTGTGAAACTTGAGAGCACTTCAATTCTGAGTAGCTTTTTTTTTTTTTTTTTAAATCCTCACCCGAGGACATTTTTGGATATTTTGTTCAGATAGAGTGGGAGGAAGAGAGAGAGAGAGAGAGAAACATCGATGTGAAAGGGACACATCGAGTAGTTGCCACCCACACAACCCAACCAGGGCCGGGGACAAACTGCAACTGAGGTACATGCCCTTATCAGGAACCGAACCCGGGTCTCTCGGGACCGCAGGCCGACGCTCTAACTGCTGAGCAAAACCGGCCAGGGCTGATTAGCTTTTGTTGTTGACATGAGAGGAACCAGACCGATGAATAAATGCCATGTAGACCTACTGTGTGCCAGGCACTGTGCTAAATAAGCACTTTTAACAGTCTAAGCCACTGTATCTTTGCAACAGTCTTCAGGAACCATTGCCCCATTTTTAGGAGGGGAAACTGAGGCTTGGAGAGATCAAAAACCTCTGCAAAGGCAAATGAAATGGACAGAGTTTTGCAGATACCCACCTGAAGCCTGGGCAAACAGGATGATGGCCATGCAGAGAGGCCCAGAGCCCAGGCCTGGCTGACTCCAAACCAACGCCTTTCCACAACAGTGGATAGAGGGCAAAATGCCAAAGACAAAGGAGGAAATACTGGGAGCAAAACCCCAGGTTTCACCCTGGCCGGTTTGGCTCAGCAGTTAGAGCGTCGGCCCGCAGACAAGAGAGTCTCAGGTTCGGTTCCTGCTAAGGGCACCTACCTCAGTTGCACTTTGTCCCCAGATTCGGGTAGAGTCATGTGGGTGGCAACCACTCGATATGTCTCTCTCACATAGATGTTTCTCTCTCTCTCCCTCCCACTGATCTGAAGACAAATGGGAAAATATCCTTAGGTGAGGATTTTAAAAAAAGATGCTGAATCAAGAAAGAAGTCAGCATGGCCCTGGTCAGAATTGCTCAGTGGTTAGAGAGTCAGATGGAGCATGAGGATGATAGGCTCAATTCCTGGTCAAGGGCAGGTATCTGGAATGCAGGTTCAATCCTGGGCCCCAGTCAGGAATCATGCGGGAAGCAACCAATCAATGTGTCTCTCTCACATCAATGTTTCTCTCTCTCCCTCTCCCTCTCCCCATTCCCCCTTCCCTTCCACTCTCTAAAAATATCAATAGAAAAAATATCCTTGGGTGAGGATTAACAAACAAACAAAAAGAAAGAAGTTAGCCTGGCACCTGCTGGAGGAACATTACTTCCTAACACTGATAACAATTACAGTAATAACAACAATTATGATATCATTTGGCAGCCATAGTCACAAATGGAGTCCCTTCCAGGAATGAAAATATGGCTACCCACCTAGGAGGCAGAAAAGCAAGAGGCAGAAGAGGAAGGGAGGGGAGAATCCATTGCCTTCAATGGCCACAGGACCGATTCTCATTCATTAGCTTCCCTAATCACTGAAACAGCCCAGACAGTAGAATTTACCCACTGAACAGATGAGCAAACTGCAGCTTCTCAGGGATACCCAGGGAAGAACTTATCCCAGCTCTTGCCATGAAGGCCTGATCAGACAAGAAGTCCCTTCTCAGGCTCCAAGAGGGCTCCCCCCAATTGGCAGGCTTTATTATTATTATTATTTATTTTTTAATCCTCACTCTAGGACATTTTTCCATTTTTTATTCAGATAGAGCTGGAGGGAGAGAGAGAAACATCAACGTGAAAGGGACACATCGAGTGGTTGCCACCCACACGACCCAACCAGGGCCAGGGACAAACTGCAACCGAGGTACATGCCCTTAGTGGGAACCGAACCCGGGCCTCTCCGGATCACAGGCCGATGCTCTAATCACTGAGCCAAATCAGCCAGGGCCCAATTAGCAGGCTTTAGCTTGGGGGCAGGTCCTTGTGTTCTGGGCGTCCTAGACCATCCTAACATGGTCCAGGAAAGAATCCTGAAGAAAGTTCCCCCTGAGGTCCTGCTTCCAACTAAGAAAAGATTAGTTCAAGTCTCATCCTTCAGCTCCCTTCTCTTCTCTATGCTCCCATCACCCCCCTGCCACAAAAGCTGGACCTGACAGTCTCGCGCTGTGATGGCACTGGACAGATTAAAGGGACACCAGGGCAGATAGACAAAAAGATGAACTTGGAAGAGAGAAGTCAGTGTTTCCCAGGGACCAAGCTGAAGAGTCAGCCCAAGAGAGCCAGACAACAGGGTTACCTAGGGTCCAGATAACCAGTCAAACAGCACAGGTCAGCTGGGTTAACCCAACAGTGGGATAGCTAACTGTTAGTCTGTGAGGGACACGATGGGCAGACAGACCGCACAGGTTACCCTGGACAGCTAGTTAGACAGCAGGAGGCTGTCCTGCAGAAATGGACAGATGGACAGCCAAATGGTGGTAGCAGGGAGGCCTATCCAGGACAGAGAGTCAAGCCAACCAGACGGCAGTGATTGCTCCAGATAAATGAACAGCCAGCCAGACGGCAGGGGTCAGCCCAACAGACAGATATCTAGGTGGCACATTTCGGACAGAGAGACCTATCCCTGACCCACAGGCAACCAGATGGTAGAACTCATCCACTAAAGCTGGGGACCAGAGAGTCGGCAGGGGTCCACCACACATCCCGGCCCACGCCTCCCAGCCGGTGAGACGCCCCTTGGGCCTGCGCCAGCCCCTTCAAGGATCCCTACGCTCAGTGTCCCAGAGGGCCCGCCTCCCTGCCCCTGTCCCCCGTCACGGGCACGCAAGCGCCGCAGTTACGCCGGAGGCGCAGGGCGCGCCATTCCCTGTCCGCCCTCCGCGCCCTCGGCCACCGCCCGCCGGCGTCGCCACCGCGTTCGCTCACCGGCCCACGAAGTTCTCAAGCACCGAGCTCTTGCCCGCGCTCTGGCCGCCCACCACGGCGATCTGAGGCAAGTCCAGGTGGCAGCTCTGACCGATGGAGCTGAAGGCGTCCTGTAGCTTGTTGACAAGCGGAATCAGTTCTTCCATCCCGCGGTTGCCCATGGCGCCGGCGGCCCCGGCCCGAGCGCCCAGCGCTCCCCGCCTGCCCCCGTCCCTCAACGATGCGGTACCGCGGCGTCCGCGGCCGTTGCTCCCCACCAGCTCGGGCCTCGGCGCGACGCCCGCTCCCGGCTCGGCCTCACGGCCGCCACTTCATCCGGTTCTCAGGCGACACCCGAACCCAGCGACCTCCGCCCGGGCCCAAAGCCCTGCACCACCCCTGATTGGCCAACCATGCTGCCACTCATATAAACCAGCCAACGAAAATGAGGCACAGACTTCCACCTCCCCCCCCACCGGTACTCCTCGCGGGTTCATTGGACGAAGAACTGTCGCAATTATACTTGAGCCAATAGCAGCGGGTAGCGACACGTCAAGGCCCGTAGGTTGTTTCGGAAAAAGGTATGTTGGATCCGCCCCCTAGGGGGAGTTCCCGGATAGCAGGAAAATTGCCAGTTTTATTGACAGGAAGACCCTCCAGTCAACAACGCTAGCCAATGATGTTAGGGATCGATTCACTGGTTTGTCATTTGACGCTACCTCATTCCCTAAAAATTTCTCATTGGTTTATATAAATATCATTCCATCAGTCAACAAACCAAAAGGAGGGCTTTAACCTCCGAAACTTGACTCTGAGAACTGTATGTCAATCAACAATCTCCCGTTCTTACTCGTGATTGTTGTATGTCTATTAAGAGTCTTCTGGAGCAGAGTAAGACCCACTGTACTCGTCAAAGGGCGACTCCTCTTGGTGGGACCCGGTGGTGATCGCACGAGTTTCCGGGCTCTAACGAAAACTACAGGTCCCAGAATGCATCTCGGCCTCGGGCTTGCAAACCAGCTCTCTGCGCGGGGTTCCAGTGCGCTTTGAACGTGAGAGTCTGGCGATGTTAGTGGTTCCTAGCGAGAGGCGGTCTAGCGCGACATTGTCATCCACTTTCATTCCTATATAAAGTCACACCTCCATTGCCTTTGCAAATGCTGTCCCTTTTCCTAAGACTGCCTTCCCTTCACGCCCCGTCTTGATGAGGCTAACAAACCCACCTGACTCTTCAAATTAAGTATATCATTATCTTTTCGAGTACCCAGTGAAACTCAACTGATCCTCTGCCTATAAAAAGAAAAGAAGTAATTTGATCCCTCTGGGCACAGATGGGCCAGAAAGAAAGAGGAGTCCAAAGAATAAATAAGCAACCCAGTAAGGAGTTAGGAACAATGGAAGTGGGGAAGTGGGCTGACTGGAGAAACAGGAGGAGGATGGCAAAGTGACCAATGGTATATGCCTGTTCCAAGACCCAAACCCCAAGTCTCAGAGAGATGGGTAAAAAGACAACCAACAGGTTTGGCATTGCAGCCTTGCCCAGAGTAGCAGAAACCTGGAAACACCCAGTTAGGTGTTTCCGTGGATCTAAATAAATACTATGCAGCAGCTGTAAAAAAGATAAGGAAGTCTTCATGTATTGACACGTAAACAATTTAAAATATACAGAGAAAGAAAAAAAAAAAGCAAGGTACATAACTGCGTGTAAAGGACACTGACATTCATGAAAAATATGTACACATGGGAAGTTTCTGGAAAAATACAAACTGATCAAAATAGTTGCATTTTTATACTATTTAAGTGGTGGCTCCTACACGTATTACTTTTTTAATTTAAAAACCCTTATCTTCTAAGAGCACCAGCTCTGTAATTGGCTATATCTGGGTTAGATCCTGGGCCTGTTTATTTGCTGGGTGACCAAGTGACTTCATTTCCTTGAAACTCAGTTTCCTCATCTGTACAGTGGGGAAGGTAGCTATTCATGCATCATAAAGTTGTAAGAATTAAATGCACATAACCATTTAGAACAGGTCCAGGTGCAATGTAAGCACCTGCTAGATCACACCTATTATCATCATCACTATGTTTACTGACAGCAAGATTAAGCCTCATGTTTGAAGAGTCAAGGCGAAAGGCATGAGCTCTGAAGCCAGGCTGCTACTTCCTCAATAATGACCTTGGGTAAGCTACTTCCCCTCTCTGAGCCTATCTGCTCACCTGTAAAATGGGGGAGGACAAGAGTGCTGAACCCCAGAGTGGTTGGGAGGCCTGGAACACAGGAAAAAGAATGCAGCCCCCCCCACCCCCCACCCAGGGCACTTCCTACATGTTGGGCTGTGAGAGGTGGTTTGCAGTTACCAGCTGTTGCTATGGTTACTAGTTATTACTATAAAGGGAGAAGAGGGACATTAACTGCAGGGACACTTAGACCAAGAAGGGGACCAAGACAGGCCACCTCCACAAGAAGAAACAGACCCACTGTAAGTTATATTAAAAATCCAAATCTTTCAATATCGTCCATCCCTTCCTTCCCTCCCCCAAGCTGGGTCAACTCAATGTAATTCCCACAGAGGCCAGGGCTTCAGTGGCCCAGGTAGGATAGAGGGTGGGGTCCCCATACATGGTACCCATGAAGTCCCGCACGAAGTCAGGAAAGCGTTTCTCCACGATGCTGGCACGCACAGCGCCCATCAGCTGCAGCTATGGGGCAGAGGTGTCAGTGTCAGCCACCCGGCACCTATCCCCACCCCTCGCTTGCCCACTCAGGCCACAAGCCCACCTGGTAGGCGATGTTGTGGACAGTGAGGTGGTGCAGGGCTGCGGTGTTGTCACTGTGGAGTAGTGCGTGCAGGAAGGCTCGGCTGTGCCTGGGGACAGGAGTCAAGGCTCAGCAGTGCAGGGTTCTGCTCCCTCCACTCCCCCCAGCCTCCAGCCCCATCCTTTCCTACTTCTGGCAGGTGGGACAGGCACACTTGGGGTCTATGGGGCGGAAGTCCTTCTGGAACTGCTTCTTCTTCAGCTGTAAGTTCCCTGTAGGCACCAGGGCAGAACCAAAGCGCTGAGGGAGGAAAGAGATGGGGAAGGCAGGTCAACCACCAGGTCTTCACCGTTTCTGACCCCACTCCCACCTTGGCCCACCAAAAGGCCCCGACCCTACTGCCCCCTTCCCAAGGCCTCACCGCTGTCCTTGTAGGGAAAACGCAGTCGAACATGTCGCATCCAAGAGCCACGCAGACCACCAGATCAGTGGCATAGCTGGAGGTGAGGCCACAGAGGGAGGGGAGCAGAGCACCTCAAGCCCTGGTCACACACCCAGACCCCCTTCCGGACTCTCAGACTCCCCCTAGACTGGGGCACTCACAACCACCTCCAGTGGAGGGCCATGGTCCTCCTTAGTCCCTTCCCAGGTACGGTTATGTCCTTTCCCCATGTCCTTTCCCTTGACACACTCAGGGGGTCAGAGGGTCCCCAGAAATCCACTCCCCACAGAACTGCTGTCTCCCTGCTTTTGGACATACCCGACCCCCATCAAGTATCGGGGCTTGTCCTTAGGCAGCCTTGACGTGCTCAGTGCCACCATCCTCCAAAACTGGTTCTTGCTCTCACCCCCGCTCAGTCCCCCGATGGCAAAGCCAGGCACATCCCTCTTGGTCATCTCTGGGAGTACAGGAAAGGTGAGGGGTGACCAGGCAAAAGAATATACTACTCCTCTTCTTCCTCCTCCCCCTCATCCTCTCTGCCCCCATTTCTTCTTCCTCATTATCACTTTGACCACACCCTTGGTTTTAGGTCTCAGTCACCCTTCCCTTGGGCAACTACTCTGGCTTCCTCATGGGCCTCTGCTTCATGTCCTCCCAGGATTTTTCTATGGTTCCCCATTGGTTCCTGACACTCTCCCACTTAACAGCCTTCCATGGCTCCCCAGGATCACAGTGTATCAATTAGTGCCATGGGTTCTAGAGCTCAATGCATGGGTCCAAATCCCAGCTCTGTAATAACCAAACTGTCTGGCTTGGGTAAGTGATTCAACAACTCTCTGCCTTATTTTTTCCTTCTGTAACCTTGGGACCCCAGTAGTTCCCACCTTACAGGATGGTTATAAAAACTCAATTAGCCCTGGCCGGTTTGGCTCAGCGGTTAGAGCGTCGGCCTGCGGTCTGGAGAGACCCGGGTTCGGTTCCCGCTAAGGGCACGTACTTCGGTTGCAGTTTGTCCCCGGCCCTGGTTGGTCGTGCGGGTGGCAGCCACTCGATGTGTCCCTTTCACATCGATGTTTCCCTCTCTCTCTCTTCCTCTCTCTCCCTCCCGCTCTATCTGTACAAAGAATGGAAAAATGTCCTCGGGTGAGGATTAAAAAAAAAAAAAAAAAAAATAAAAACTCAATTGATCAATCCATGACCAGCACTTGGCATTGTGTCTGGTGAACACCCCAAAATTCATGGCTTTGGAATTACTATTATTCTGCAAACATTACACTCCATTCTGCCTCTGGGACTTGCTTCCATTGTAACAGAACCCTCTGCCCATTAACAACCACTTCCTGAGCATGCCAGGCCCAAGTGGGGCCTTCACCAATATTACAAACCCTGGTCTTGCTGAACACAGCTCTACCTTCGAGGCAGGTGGCACGGAGATCCGCGTTCAGCCCCCCCTGGATGATAGCGAAAAGATTCTGCTTGTCCGGCCGCCGATGGGCTGCCACACAACGGTCTAGCCAGCGGATTGATCTGCAACAAAACCAATCAGCTTTTTGGGCCTGGTGAAGGGTAAGGAAACTAGACTACAGGATCAGGGTCGCCTCCCTGGTGTGCATGCGCGGGCATACACGCACACCTGTACATGGCCTCTTCCACACGTGGCCCCGTCACAGTGCTGCTGACCACGTCGTCTAGCTGCATGATGATGTCCGAGCCTGGGGGTGGAGGTAGAAAGTAGGGTACTGTCATTAGGAAAGCCCCCACCCCTTGGGGGCAAACTGGACACCAAAAGTCCCTCCTTGGGTCTTGCTGACACCCATTTAACACCCCAGTCTGTTTATACAACAGCTAGAGGGAGCTTTCAAAAGGCCTATCTGTTCTTGCCTCCCCCAGCTAATCCCAGCCCTCCCGCAGCTAACCCCTTCCCTGACATGCGGAATAAAATTCCACTTCTGCCCTGGCCGGTTTGGCTCAGCGCTTAGAGCGTTGGCCTGTGGTCTGGAGAGACCCGGGTTCAGTTCCCGCTAAGGGCATATACCTCAGTTGCAGTATGTCCCCAGCCCTGATTGGGTTGTGTGGGTGGCAGCCACTCCATGTGTCCTTTTCACATCAATATTTCTCTCCCTCCCTCTCGATCTGAACAAAATATCAAAAGATGTCCTCGGGTGAGGATTTAAAAAAAAAAAATCCCACTTCTGCAAATCTACCCTTCAAGAACAAAACACTGTGCATACAAAGGGATGTGTGGCAAACAATAACAGGATGTAACCCAAGTGTCCATCACCAGGGGTTTGGTTAATAAACCATGGCCCAACCCTTAACAGAAGTGCCTTCCCCACCATTCCACAATCCAGACACTTCTCAAAATCAAAAGCTTTTTCTTATGATTATGGCACACTGATAGTAAACCCAAGATGGTTATAATCCTTTGAAAAACCCAATTTAGTATAAAGATTCATGAAGTATTAATCCAATAAAAGTGAAGTGTATTCCATGTGATCTAGTAATTCCACTTCTGGGTATATATAGACAAAAATTAAAAGCAGGGTCTTGAAGAGATATTTGTATAGCCATGATCATAGCATTATTCACAATAGCCAAAAGGTGAAAGCCACTCAAGTGTTCGTCAACATATGAACAGATAAAATGTGATACAGCCCGGCCGGCGTAGCTCAGTGGTTGAGAGTCGACCCATGCACCAAGAGGTTGCCAGTTCAATTCCTGGTTAGGCCACATGCCCAGGTTGTGGGCCTGATCCCCAGTGGGGGGCATGCTGGAGGCAGCCAGTCAATGTTCCCTCTCATCGATGTTACTATCTTTCTCCCCCTCTCCCTTCCTCTCTCTCTAAAAATCAATAAAGGAAAAAAAAAATTAAAAAAAAAAAGTGATAGACATTCAATGGAATATTATGCAGTCTTGAAAAGGAAATTCTCACACATCCTACAATATAGATGAACCTTGAGGATATTATGCTAAGTGAAATAAGCCAGTCACAAAAAGACAAATACTGTATGTGTTCACTCATATGATGTCCCTATAGTAATCAAATTCTTAGAATATAAGGGTAGGTGCCAGAGGCAGGGAGACAGAAGAATGTGAGCTACTACTTAATGGGGACAGAGTCTCAGTTGTGCAAGATGAAAAAAATTCTGGAGTTGGATGGTTGTACAACAATGTGAATGTAAATGTCACAGAACTGGACACTTAAAAATGGTTAAGATGGCCTGGCCGGCATGGCTCAGTGGTTGAGCACCGACCCATGCACCAAGAGGTCGCTGGTTCGGTTCCCGGTCAGGGCACATGCCCAGGTTATGAGCCCAGTCCCCAGTGTGGGGCATGCAGGAGGCAGCCAATCAATGTTCTCTCTCGATGTTTCTATCTCTCTCTCTCCCTCTCCCTTCTTCTCTCTCTAAAATTCAATAAAGAAGAAATAAAAAATGGTTAAGATGGGCCCTGACTGGTGTGGCACAGTGGATAGAGCATTGGCCACTCACTGAAGGGTCACAAGTTTGATTCCTGGTCAAGGGCATATACCTGGGTTGCAGGTTTGATCCCTGGCCTTGATCTGGGTGCATGCAGGAGGCAACCAATTGATGTATCTCTCTCACATCAATGTTTCTCTCTGTCTTTCTCTCTCCCCCTCTCTCCCCCTTCCACTCTCTCTAAAATTTAATGGAAAAAGTACCCTCAGGTGAGGATTAACAAACAAAACAAAAGGTTAAGATGGGAGTTCCAGCCTCACAGGGACTGGGAGAAGCAAGGAACAGGCAGCTGTCTATCATTGCAGCCATCTCCCATGGCTGCATATTGTACTACCTGGGCCTTGGCCCCATTCCTGCATCCATCTGCTGTGTAACTTGATTTCAGAACTAGTGTAACACTAACACATCCAGGCATCATGAGTGAATGTGGACAAGATGAGGGGCTACGCTGAGAAACTCACTGACTATAGGAAGGTGGGAGACACCAATGAACAAGCCATGCTCATGCCTGACTTCTGGCTCACAGAGACTTGATCCCAAAGCTATTTCAAGTACTGGTCCCTCAGGACCAAGGTCAGAATTGGGGCTACAGAGAATGCTGTAGCCCTGGCCGGTTTGGCTCAGCGGTTAGAGCGTTGGCCTGCGGTCCAGAGAGAGAATGCTGCAGATTCCAAATCAGAATAAGCAAGATCAGGCCAAGATGGCAGTGATCAAGTATAAAGGGAAATGTCTCCCACCCCGTCCCTGCCTCAAAGAGACAGCAGCCTTATGCTCCTAAACCAGCTACTTCAGGGGCTGTGACAGGACCAAGAAGCAAGCATCCACAGCTCCCAACACCTCAAAAACACCAGGGATTTAGCTGGAGCCAAGAGGTATGTAGTCCTCATCAGTGCCCATGATCACAGGCCTTTGGATCTCTTTATCTCTAAGAACTGGAGATAGAAATACAGTTTTTTTGTGTTGTTATTGTTACTCCTCACCTGAGGATATTTTCCCATTGATTTTTAGATCGAATGGAAGGGAGGGAGGGGCATCAATGTAAGAGAGACACATCAATTGGCTGCCTCCCACACGCACCCCAAACAGGGCCAGGATCGAACCTTCAACCTAGGTACGGGCCCTTAACTGGGAATTGAACCTGCAACCCTTTGGTCAGTGGGCCAACACTCTAACTGCTGAGCCAAACCAGCCCGGGCAAAACAGTCTTAATGGAGCCCAGAACTGTCTCGGGAGCCAGAAAACCCTCTCTTTGCATAATAAATAAAATTCCTGTATGAAAAAAAAAAAAAGTGTTTAAGATGGTTCATTTTATGTTATGTGTATTTTGCCACTTTTTTTTGGGGGGGGGGTGAAGTTTAACATGACAGGGTACTGCCCAGACCCCCACTGAGATGCTGTATATGCAATAAACAGGGCTTACTGGCCCTGGCCGGGTAGCTAAGTTGGTTAGAACATCATCCCAATATGCCGAGGTTGCGGGTTCCGTCCCCAGTTGGAGCACACACAAGAATCAAACAGTGAATGCACAAATAAGTGGAACAAACTGATGTTTCTCTCTCTCTAAAAATCAATCAATAAACACAATTTTTAAAAATGGGTCTTGTTATCCTTCTAAAATATGAAAATTCTTGGCCCCAAGAATTTTAGATTAGGGACTGTGAACTTATATGTTACAAGCTAGAAAAGTTCAAATCTCAGGTATCATTATAGGAAAAAGCACAGTACACCCCACTAGCCAAAGATGGGCAATTTGGCAATCAATAAGGATTGATCCAATTGCAAAGGATTTAGACAAATCAAATACGTTTAAAACCATGAGTTCACCCTGGTCGGTTTGGCTCAGTGGTTGGAGCGTCAGCCTGCGGATCAGAGAGTCCTGGGTTTGGTTCCCACTAGGAGCACGTACAAAATAAAATAAAATAAAAAGTTACTTTAAAAAAAATAATAAAAAATAAATAAAAAATAAACCCATGAGTTCATGGTGATTCTTTTTTTTTTTTTTCCTATCCTCACCCAAGGACAGTTTTTTGCATTTATCTTCAGATAGAGTGGGAGGGAGTGAGAGAGAAACATCGATGCGAGAGAGACACACCGAGTGGTTGTCACCCGCATGACTCCAACCAGGACCGGGGACAAACTGCAACCAACGTACATGCCCTTATTGGGAACCGAACCCGGGTCTCTCTGGTCCACGGGCCAATGCTCTAACTGCTGAGCCAAACTGGCCAGGGCCATGGTGATTCTTAAACTCTAAACTTTAGTTTGCCCCTGCTAGAGGATACTAAGTAATCAACCCATGAAAACTGGTAAATAAAGGAAAAGAATGAATGCCAAGTTTCCTACATGAACTGAACTACTTGGTCTCCCAGGAGTAGGTTACCAATGGTTCTCTTTACAGAAGTAATCAGGATAGTAAATGTAGAAATAATGACAGAATTAGAACATCACCTTTTGCAACTCCTAATGACATAATGGCCCCAAGCAAGAAGCATGGGTGGTTCATTGGGAGAGAAGGGGTCAGACACCAGGCACCCCCTAATGGAAATACACACAATGAAGCTGTCTTGCTAAAAGGAACAAGAATTTGAATCTGGCTCAAACCTCCAGATCCAAGTACCAAACTACAGGAAATCTAGGGAGCAGAGAAAAACTGTTACTCAACACCACAGGGAAATGATCAGCAAAAATCAGACTACATGGCAAAGAAATCAGTTTCTTCAAGACGCCAATTGCCACCCTGGCCAGTTTGGCTCACCGGTTAGAGCGTCAGCCTGCAGTCCGGAGAGACCCGGGTTCGGTTTCCGCTAAGGGCACGTACCTCGGTTGCAGTTTGTCCCTGGCCCTGGTTGGGTCGTGTGGGCGGCAGCCACTCGATGTGTCCCTTTCACGTCAATGTTTCTCTCTTTCTCTCTCCCTCCTACTCTATCCGAACAAAATATCGTAAAATGTCCTCGGGTGAGGATTAAAAAAAACAATAATAATAAAAGAAACAAATTGCCAAAAAAAAAAAGTGTAGGGAGAAACTACATAATATGTAATATATTAAAAATGACTTATGAGACCTCTCATACAATTGTTGTATCTGCACATTATTTGGACACTAAAGTAAATAGACTATAGAGGGGAAATGACATTTATGAAACAACTGGAACTTAGAACACTGGCCAGGTATTTGATGTTGTTAATTAATTATTATTGTTTTTAGGTGATATGGTGGCTGTTTTTGTTTGTTTTTTGTTGTTGTTGATGTTGTTGTTAATCTTCACCCAAAGATACTTTTCCATTGATTTTTTTAGAGAGAATGGAAGGGATGGTGAGAGAGAGGGAGAGAGAGAGAAACATCGGTGTGAGAGAAACACATCGATTGGTTGCCTCCCACACAACCCCGACCAGGGCCGGGGATCGAATCAGCAACCCAGGTATATGCCCTTAACTGGAATCAAACCCAAGACCCTTCAGCCCACAGGCCAGCGGTCTAACTGCTGAGCCAAACCAGTCAAGGCTTGTTTTTTGTTTTTTTTTTCCCTTAAAAAAACAACTCATAGCCCAGCCAGTGTGGCTCAGTGGTTGAGCATTGACCCATGCATTAAGAGGTCGCTGGTTCAATTCCTGGTCAGGGCACATGCCCAGGTTGTGGGCCAAATCCCCAGTGGGGGGCATGCAGAGGCGGCCAATCAATGTTCTCTCTGATCCATGTTTCTATCTCTCTCGCCCTCTTCCTTCCTTTGTCTCTAAAAATATCAATAAAGAAAAAAATTTTTTAAAACTATGTTTTAGAGATACAAATTAAAACACTAATAGAATGTCTAGGATTTAATGTGATATATTACAGATGATCTAAGGAGATTAAAAAGCTGAAAAAAGAGGAACAGAGCAAAGAAATGTTTTGTTTTGTTTTTTATTTTATTTTAGAGAGAGAAACATCAATTTGTTGTTCCACTTATTTATTTATTCAGTGGTTGATTCTTGTATGTGCCCTAACAAGGGCCCTGGCCAGTTTGGCTCAGCATTTAGAGCGTCAGCCTGCGGTCCAGAGAGACCCGGGTTCAGTTCCTGCTAAGGGCACGTACCTCGGTTGCAGTTCGTCCCCGTCCCTGGTTGGGTCGTGTGGGTGGCAACCACTCGATGTGTCCCTTTCACATCGATGTTTCTCTCTCTCTCCTTCACACTCTATCTGAACAAAAAGAAAAAGAAAAAATGTCCTCAGGTGAGGATACAATAAAATAATAATAAAATAATATACAAGCCCTGGCCGGTTTGGCTCAGCGGTTAGAGCGTCAGCCTGCGGTCCAGAGAGACCCAGGTTCGGTTCCCGCTAAGGGCATGTACTTTGGTTGCAGTTTGTCCCTGGCCCTGGTTGGGTCGTGTGGGTGGCGACCACTCGATGTGTCCCTTTCGCGTCGATGTTTCTCTCTCTCTCTCTCCCTCCCACTCTATCTGAACAAAATATCAAAAAATGTCCTTGGGTGAGGATAAAAAAAATAAAATAATAAAAATAAAAATAATATACAAGGTGTATGTGCCCTAACAAGGGATCAAATACAAAACTTGGCATATCGGGATAACAGTCTAACCAACTGAGCTACCTATCAAGGCAAAAAAAAAATTGTTTAATTAAGTAATAAACAGAGTATGTAAGATTTCAATTATCAAAAAAAAGCAAGAATCCTGGTGGTGTAGTTCAAATGGATAGAGTATTGTCCCATTATGCCAAGGTTGTGGTTTTGATTCCCTGTCAGGGCACATACAAGAATCAACCAATGAATGCATAAATAAGTGGAACAACAAATTGATGTTTCTCTCTCTCTTTCCCTTTCCCTCTCTCTAAAATAAAGAAAATCAATTTTAAAAAATCAATGAAGCACATCCTTTCCATGGTATACTTTTGGCTAGAAAAAGAATAAAGTACTGATCACACTATAGTATAGATGAACATCATAAACATTATACTAGGGCTCACTTCAGAAGCACATATACTAACATTGGTACAATACAGAGAAGACTAGCATGGCCCTGTGCAAGACTGACAACACATTTGTAAATTGTTCCATATTTAAAAAGCAGAAAACATTATACTAAGTAAAAAAAGCCACTCACAAAAGACCACAGATATATGATTTCATTTACATGAAATATCTATAAAAGGCAAATCTATAGACAGAAAGTAGAATAGTTAGGGCTTTTGGAAGGAGGAATGAATAATAATGGGTAAGGGATTTCTTTTTGGGGGGGTGATAAAAATGTTCTGAAATTAGATTGTGACAATGGTTGTACAACTGTGTGCATATACTGAAGTGTACTTTTAAAATTATTATTATATTTTTTAATCCTCACTCGAGGACATGCATCCATTGATTTCTAGAGAGAGTGAAAGGAAGAGAAAAACATCAGCCTATGCCTACATGCGCCCTAACCAAGGATGCAACCTGCAATACCCACCCCCCACACCACGCTCCAACCAACTAAGTCACTCAGCCAGGGATGAAGTGTACATTTTATTTTATTTATTTACTATGTTAATCCTCACCCAAGGATTTTTTAAAAATATGTTTTTATTTATTTTTGGGAGAGATAGAAACATTGATGTGAGAGAGAAACACTGATCAGCTGCCTCCTGCATACGCCCTACTGGGGATCAAGCTCAAAACCCAGGCCTGTGCCCTAACCAGGAATTGAACCCAGACCTCTCAGTCCATGCGACAATGCTCAATCCACTGAGCCACACAAGCTGGGCAAGGATATTTTTCTTTTCTTTTTTTTTTAATCCTCACCCGAGGATATTTTTCTATTTATCTTCAGATAGAGTGGGAGGGAGGGAGAGACATCGATATGAGAGAGACACATTGGCTGCCTCCCACACAACCCCAACCAGGGCCAGGACCAACCTCAACCGAGGTACATGCCCTTGACCAGAATCGAAACCTCGGGCCAATGCTCTAACTGCTGAGATAAACTGGCCAGGACAAGGATATTTTTCATTACTTTTTAGATACAGTGGAAGGTGGGGAGTGAGGGAGAGAGAAAAAAAAACACGGATGAGAGACACATAGATTGGTTGGTTCCCACATAATCCCGACTGGCCAGGGATCAAATCTGCAACCCAAGTACATGCCTTTGCCTGGGAATCAAACCCAAGACTCTTTGGTCCAAGGGCTGATGCTCTAACTGCTGAGCCAAACCGGCCAGGGCTGAAGTGCACATTTTAAATGGATTAATTAGCTCTGGCTGGGTAGCTCAGTTGGTCAGAGCACCACAATGACACCCAAGGTTGTTGGGTTTGATCCCATCAGGGCACATAAAAGAATTAACAATAGCCCTTCCTCTCTCCCTAAAAGCAATAAAGATAAAATAAAATAAAAAGTCAACCAATAAATGCATAAATAAGTGGAACAAATTAATGTTTATCTTTCTCCCTCAAATCAATAAATTACAAAAAATTTTTAAATTAATAAATTGTCCAGCCAGTGTGGCTCAGAAGTTGAGCATCAACCCACGCACCAAGAGGTCACCGGTTCAATTCCCAGTCAGGGCACATGCCCAGGTTGTGGGCCAAATCCTCAGTGTGGGGTATGCAGGAAGTGGCTGATCGATGTTCTCTCTCATCAATGTTTCTATCTTTCTCTCCCTCTCCTTTCCTCTCTCTCTAAAATCAATAAAGAAAAAAAAAATTAAAAACAAAATGAATCAAAACTCGAGGGCCTGCAGGACTTGCTCCAGTCACCTCCCTGCCTTCACCTCCCACTCTCCCCTTCCCTACTCCAGCCAGACAGAACACTTTATTGTTCTTCAAACATACCAGTCTTAGTCCTGCTTCAGGTCCTATGCACTGGCTGCCAACTCTTTCCAGAACATACTTTCCTTCTTTGATCACCTAGTTTGTTTCTTCTCATCCATAGGTTTCAGGCCTAGGGCAGCCCTCCATGAGCCCATAGACCGAATCATGTCCAATAGCTCCACATACTTGGCCTTCATGGTCACAATCCCAAATTTATATTTATATATGTGTCTTTTAGGAATTTTTAAATAACTCATTTGAAAAAAAATACATACGGTTCCAAATGTTCAAAGTACCCCAAAATTTTTAAAAATAAAACAGAGCCCTGGCCAGGTGGCTCACTTGGTTGGAGCACTGTCCCATACAACAAAACGTTGGGAGTTCAATTCCCAGTTGGGGCACATACCTAGGTTTTGGGTTCAATCCCCAGAGGAGGCACTGCAGGGAGCAATGTTTCTCTCCAATCGATGTTTCTCGCTCTCTCTAAAAATCCATAAAAATATATCCTTGGTTAAGGATTTAAGAGGAAAGATGCGTTTTGTTCAGTTTTGTTTTTTCATACAAACTGAAAGGTACAATACACTCTTCCTGCACTGTTTTTTTCCCTTTCTAATTATGATGTTCTCACCAATGCCTGTCTCCCTGTGGATTAAATTCCATGGATGAGGTGACAGCCAGCCCTTATGACTGAGTAGACGCTAAAGAACCTCTATGGCCCTGGCCTGTTTGGTTCAGTGGTTAGTGTTGGCCCGCGGACCAAAGGGTCCTGGGGTCAAGAGCACATGCCTGGGTTGCAGGTTTGATCCCTGACCTGGACCAGGGCTGAGCAGAGGGCAACCAATCGATGTCTGTCTGTCTGTCTGTCTGTCTGTCTCTGTCTGTCTGTCTGTCTCCCTCCCTCCCTCCCTCCCTTCCACTCTATCTAAAAACTAATGGAAAAATATCCTCGGATGAGGATTAACAACAACAAAAAACTAACCTCTATACATGGAGGGACTTGAAAGCACGATCTGGCTGAAAGATAGGAAGGTTTCAACCTGTGCTTTGGTAGCACTTTATAAGACTAAGAAAATCTAGCCCTGGCCGGTTTGGCTCAGCGGTTAGAGCATCAGCCTGCGGTCCCAAGAGACCTGGGTTCGGTTCCCGCTAAGGGCATGTACCTTGGTTGCAGTTTGTCCCCGGCCCTGGTCGGTCGTGCGGGTGGCAGCCACTCGATGTGTCCCTTTCACATCGATGTCTCTCTCTCTCTCTCTCTCTCTCTCTCTCCCTCCCACTCTACCTGAACAAAAAATGTCCTCGGGTGAGGATTAAAAAAAAAAAAAAAAAAAGACTAAGAAAATCTTAATCCACATCAAGGTATGGGGAAATATGATGTAGATGGTAGGGGCTTAAAGCCTTCCCAGTCCTCTCTTGTTGCCTCCACTATTTCAACATAGCTTTGCCCAATTAATTTACAATTTAAGAGTAATAACAGCAGTAATAATAATAAAAGAGACTTCATGCCAGGCACTGTGCTAAGAAATTTACCGACATTAGATCATGAATCTTGTGAACTTTCCTCATTTGAGTTGGCTCAATTAAAGCTCAGGGAAGGGGAGTGACTTACCCAAAGCCACACAACATATAAGGATCCGGCCCGCTTCACCTCCACCGGCAAAAAGCAGGGGAAAGGGCCGCTCCCCGGGATCTGCTCACCAAGCGCGTTCTGGATCTCCACGGACCTCTCCGGACTCAGAAGGGTCTCGTCGCCATCGTAGGGGGAGCGGAAGCGGACGCCTTCCTCCGTCACCTCGGACAGGGACACCAGGGACACCATCTGGAAGCCGCCGCTGTCCTGGGGGAAACACACCGCAGGGCAGTCAGGAGAGATGTTAGGAGAGATTCACCTCCGAGAAGATCCTCGCATCCCGCCCTGACCCCACCTCACCGTTAGCAGATTGTGGGACCAATTCATGAAGCCGTGGAGACCGTGGGCTTTCTGGATCAGCTCGGGGCCCTGGGTTGGGGGGCGAGGAGCGAAAGAGTCATGTTAAGGATGACCGCGACCTTGTGAGCTCATTTGGGGGGGCCAGGGATGGCCAAATTGGGTCTCTAGTACAGCACAGGCCCTAGGCCACCGGAGCACTCAGTAGGAGTTTGTCGATTGACTTTTGGACGCATGCCCGTGCCCAGGGGATGCCCCAGGGCTCCCCAAGTTCCGCCACCACCCCATACGGGCAGAGCCCACCCACCGGCCTCAGACCCAGATGGTAGGTGTTGCCCAGGCAGATGCGGCAGCCCAGCGCGTCCAGTTGCTCCGCCGTGATGCCCTTCATGGTGGCCTGCGTGCCCACTGGCATGAATACTGGAGTGGCCACCGGCCCGTGCGGCAGCTGCAGCTCGCCTGCCCGGGCCCTAGAGCGGCTGCACTCGGCCACCAAGCGCAAGATCCGCGGGGCCGACTCCAGCGAAGTTGAGTTGGCCGCCGCCGCCATCTTGCCAGCCAGACCCACGTGGGCGGTGAAACACACTGGATCGCGCCATGTTGGCTAGCGTCACGTGAGGAGTTAGGCCTCAGAAAGTCCTGGGAGAGCGTCCGTGGGACCATGGCAACGGCCATCCGCCGGCGGGTACCCTCAGGACGTCTGGTTCTCTCCAGCCACAGAGCATTGCCGTGAAGTATCAAAAATTGTTTTATGTCCTAGCCAGTTGGTCAGTTGGTTGGAGCGGCCTCCGGTACACAGAAAGATTGCAGGTTCCATTCCCGGTCAGGGCACATACCTAGGTACGGGTTTCATCCCCGGCCGGGGCGCTTATGGGAGGCAACCGATCGATGTTTCTGTTTCTCTCTCTCTTTCTCTCTCTCTAAAAATCAATGAAAACATGTCCTCAGGTGTGAATTTTTTTTTAATTGTCTTGTGATCACTTTGTAAGTTATATAAATATCTAATCACTTTATCCTTGGCCGGTTTGGCTCAGCGGTTAGAGCATCGCCCTGCGGTCCAGAGAGACCTGGGTTCGGTTCCGCTAAGGGCGCATACCTCGGTTGCAGTTTGTCCCCAGCCCTGGTTGGCCATGCGGTTGGATGCGGTTGGCAGCCACTCGATGTGTCCCTTTCACGTCGGTCGATCTCTCTCTCTCTCTCTTCCTCTCTCTCCCTCCCACTCTATCTGAACAAAAAATGGAAAAAAATGTCTTCAGGTAAGGATAAAAAATATATATATACCTAATCCCTTTATTGTACATCTGAAACTGACATGATATTGTGTGTCAACTGCTTATTGCAATAAGGACATTGTGAAGAATGAATGAGGATAGATGTGTATAGAACTTTACAGGGTGCCTGGCACAGGTTTTTGTATGTTCTGTTCATTGCATTGTCCCAAGAGCTTAGAATAGAACCTAGCACATAGTACTAATGTGCTCAGTCACATGAAAGAAGGAATCCCAGATTTACAGAAGGGGAGCCTGAGTTCCAGAATCTGGCCACACCTATTCATTCATTAAATGTACACCTATATTGCCCTGGCCAGTTTGGTTCAGCAGTTGATCGTTGGCCTGCAGACCAGAGAGTCCCGGGTTCGGTTCCCGCTACAGGCACGTACCACAAAAAATATATATAATAATAATAAAATACTATATATGTCCTGGCCAATTTGGCTCAGCGGTTAGAGCATCGGCCTACTTCAGACTGAAGGGTCTTGGATTCAATTGCTGGTCAGGGTACCTGCCCTGCAGGTTTGATCCCTGGGCTTGGTCAGGGTGGTGTGGGAGGCAACCAATCAATGTGTCTCTCTCACATCAATGTTTTTGTCTTTCTCTCCCCACTCCTCCCCTTCCACTCTATGTAAAAAAAATCAATGGAAAAATATCCTTGCGTGAGGATTAACAAATAGTAGTAATAATAATAATCATAATAAAATAACTATATATAATAATAACCATTATTGTAGTTGAAAATGGGGCTGATATCCATACTGGCCATTAGAGGGAGCTATTACACCAGAATTCTTCCTCTTAAACTCACTGGCCTAACTTGGCTGATTTGAACAAGACTCTGATCTTCTAGGAGCCTCAGACTAATGATGCCAATTTCTCAGGGTGGTGTAGAGTCCTCCCTGAGGCCACATGTAGGAAACACCCACCCAGGAGGCACACTTCAGGGCCTTTATTTTTGCCACTGCCTGTAACACTTCTGATTTTCCCATGGCTGACTCATATTTTCAGTCAGTTGCTCCTAACTCCCCCAATCTTAAGAACCCTCCACCCCCAAGATTCTATGTCACATGGCCTATAACTCATGCTTTTTAAGAGTCTCATGCTCCCCTGGCCGGTTTGGCTCAGTGGTTGGAGTGTCAGCCTGCGGACCAGAGAATCCTGGGTTCGGTTCCTGCTAGGGGCACGTACCAAAAAAAAAAAGAGTCTCAGGCTCTACCGACTGAGCTAGCCGACCACTCCTAATATAACTAATGCTTTTTAAAACCTCTATACATTGACATGCCCAAATTTTTATTCTTATCTCCTGAACTCAAATCTCCTCTTAACAGATGCCTCCTGACATCTCCACTGGGTGTCTATAGGCATCCAAACTCTGCATGTCCAACGCAGAGCTCCTGATTGTAGCCCAACCCAAACTTTTTTTTTTTTTTTTTTTATCCTCACCCGAGGACACTTTTTCATTCTTTGTTCAGATAGAGCAGGAGGGAGAGAGAGAGAGAAACATCAATGTGAAAGGGACACATCGAGTGGCTGCCACCCGCACGACCAACCAGGGCTGGGGACAAACTGCAACCGAGGTACATGCCCTTAGCGGGAACCGAACCCGGGTCTCTCCGGACCGCAGGCCAGTGCTCTAACCGCTGAGCCAAACCGGCCAGGGCTTTTTTTTTTTTTTTTTTTAATCCTCAACTGAGGACATTTTTCCATTTTTTGTACAGATAGAGTGGGAGGGTGAGAGAGGAAGGGAGAGAGAGCGAGAAACATCGACGTGAAGGGACACATCGAGTGGCTGCCACCCGCACGACCAACCAGGGCCGGGGACAAACTGCAACCGAAGTACGCGCCCTTAGCGGGAACCGAACCCGGGTCTCTCCGGACCGCAGGCTGACGCTCTAACCGCTGAGCCAAACTGGCCAGGGCCCAACCCAAACTTGACTACCCCCTTCCATCTTTCCCTTCTCATGTAATAGCAGCTCAAATCTTCCAGATGCTCTGATAGAAACTTAGGAATGGTCATTGGGCTCTCACTGTTTCTCACTCTCTACATCTTATTTGTCAGCAAATCCTGGCTGCTCTGCTTTCAAAATCTAGCCAGAATCAACCACTTATCACTCACCTCTTCCACAAATAACTCTTGCTGGTCCAGACATCAACAGCTCTTGCCCCAGTGATTGCAGTCACTTCCTCACTGTTTCGGCTTCTGTCCTTGACACCTTATGCTATATACCTTAAGGCACTTTAAAACAAATTATTTCAGTCTGGCCTGTATGGCTCAGTGGTTGAGCATCAACCCATGCACCAAAAGGTCACTGGTTCACTTCCCGGTCAGGACACATGCCCAGGTTGTGGGCCAAATCCCCTGTGGGGGGCATGCAGGAGGCAGCCAATCAATGTTCTCTGTCGTTGATGTTTCTGTATCTGTCTCTCCTTCTCCCTTCCTCTCTCTAAAATCAATAAAAGGGGAAATATTTTAAAAAAAAACAACACACAAATAATTTCAACATTTCACCATTATGGAAGTTGTCTGTAGGCTTTTTGGAAATATCGATATGAGAGAGACACATCAATTGGTTGCCTTCTGCACAGCTCTGGCCAGGGCCAGGGACCAAACTGCAACCGAGGTATGTGCCCTTGACCAGAATCAAACCCACAACTCTTTAGTCTGAGGGCCGACACTCCAACCACTGAGCCAAACTGGACAGGGCTGTCTCATTTAATTTAAAGTGCCCAATGAGGAACAAAAAAAGACCCTGAATAGCCACAACAATCTTGAAAAAGAAGAACAAAGTAGGAGGGATCATTATTCTGGATATCAGGATACACTACAAAGCCTTATAATCAAAACAGCCTGGTATTGGCCCAAGAACACACATATAGATCAATGGAACAGAACAGGAAACCCAGAAATTGACCCAAGACATGCGCAATATTTGACAAAGGAGGCAATATTTGACAAAGGAGTAAAGACAGTTTCTTCAATAAATGGTGTTGGGAAAATTGGACATATAAATGCAAAGAAAATGAAACTAGACCACCAACTTACACGATACATGAGAATAAACTCAAAATGGATAAAAGACTTAACTGTAACTCGTGAAACCATAAAAATTCTAGAAGCCCTGGCCGGTTTGGCTCAGCAGTTGGAGCGTCAGCCTGTGAACCAGAGAGTCCCGGGTTCGGTTCCTGCTAAGGGCACATACCTCGGTTGCGGTTTGTCCCCGGCCCCGGTTGGGGTCATGTGGGTGACAACTACTCGATGTGTTTCTCTCACATCGATGTTTCTCTCTCTCTTCCCCCCTCTCTCCCTCCTGCTCTATCTGAAGATGAATGCAAAAATGTCCTTGGGTGAGGATAAAAAAAAAATCTAGAAGAAAATGTAGGCAGCAAAATCTCAGACATCACAAGTAGCAGAATTTTCACCAATACATCGCTTAGAAAAAAATCAATAAATGGGCCCTGACCGGTTTGGCTCAGCGGTTAGAGCGTTGGCCTGCGGTCCGGAGAGGCCCGGGTTCGGTTCCCGCTAAGGGCACGTACCTCGGTTGCAGTTTGTCCCCGGCCCTGGTTGGTCGTGCGGGTGGCAGCCACTCGATGTGTCCCTTCACGTCGATGTTTCTCTCTCTGTCTCTCTTCCTCTCTCTCCCTCCCACTCTATCTGTACAAAAAATGGAAAAATATCCTTGGGTGAGGATAAAAAAAAAAAAAATCAATAAATGGGACCACATCAAACTAAAAAAGCTTCTGCACAGCAAAAGAAACCAGCATCATTGCCCTGGCCGGTTTGGCTCAACGGTTAGAGCGGCGGCCTGTGGTCCAGAGAGACCCAGGTTCGGTTCCCACTAAGGGTGGCGCGTACCTCGGTTGCGGTTTGTCCCCGGCCCTGGTTGGTCGTGCGGGTGGCAGCCACTCGATGTGTCCCTTTCACATTGATGTTTCTCTCTCTCTCTCTCTTCCTCTCTCTCCCTCCCACTCTATCTGAACAAAAAATGGAAAAATGTCCTCGGGTGAGGATAAAAAGAAAAGAAAAGGGAACCTACTATATGGGAGAACATATTTATCAATGATACATCAGATAAGGGATTAATGTGTAAAATATATAAAGTACTTATACAACTCAACAAAAGGAAGACAAACAATCCAATTTAATTTTTTTTTTTTTTTTTTTTTGGTATGTGCCCTGAGTGGGAACCGAACCTGGGACTCTCTGGTCCACAAGCTGACGCTCCAACCACTGAGCCAAACCAGCCAGGGCAAACAATCCAATTTAAAAAAATGGGCAGAGGATCTGAATA